CAACTGTTTGATAAAGATAATTATCTAAAACATCTTCAAAAATTATTAGTATTTATTATGTTCTTAATAATTGAAAACCTGGTGCCGAATTAACTAGATGCCAAGTGCACCAGGTGCTGAATTGACTAGGTACCGAATATACCACGTGCCGAATTCACTTTACTTGGTGCCTAATTCACTTTACTTGGTGCCTAATAAACCAGGTGCCGAGATTACCAGGTGCCGAATTGACTAGAACTCGTAACACTTTTGTTTCCACACGATATCTCTAGAAGCCTTTGAGCTTTTGCAATGAAATTTAACATTTAACAACTCCCTGTAGCCTAAAGGAGAACCCTATTGATTTTGAGGTCAAAATATCAAAGATAAAGGTCGTAAATTCATACATTCTGTCTGTGTGTAACACTTTCGTTTCTGGGCAATATGTCAAGAAGCTTTTGAGCTTTTGCAATGAAATTTTACACCATAACTCCCTATGGCCTCTCTAACCCCTCTCAAAGTGTCCCGCCCCATTTTTATTTTATTGTATTAAAAGTCACATGACACTTCTTTTAGCCCAGGAGCATGTGGTGAGTAATTATTACATATACATGTAATACAGGTTGTCGGCAGACTCTATATTCTAATTACATCTATTAGAACTCTTTAATAAAGGCTAAATTAGACACCATGTGTTGTGTAAAATTTTGACAATATTAAATGTGTATATAAACATGTATATGTGACCTAATGTTTTATTTAATTTGCTTTATAAGCAAGTGCCTCGTTGGTCTAGGGGTACGATTCTTGCTTAGCATGTGAGAGGTCCCAGGTTCAAATCCCGGATGATCTCGTATTTTTTAAAAAAATTTTTTGGAAATTTATTTTTTAAATTAACTAAATGATAGTATTCAACGTATAAAATGAAGTTATGACATCTGGCATGTACGAACTTCTCATAAGCATTATTACAGTGTGTTAAATATTTTATATAAAAAGAATCTTCTATACACATATTAAAGAATAAGCAATCAAATCTATATATCCAAATTGGCATTTTTATTTGCTTCAGTATACAAGTTTAAATTTAATAATTCTGCAAATTCGGGGGAGGGGGCACACCCCCCCTCAGATCTGTGCATGCTCTTCTTTTGTCCTTAAGTGGGAGACACAAATTCTCAGAATTAGCTTGTAAACATATTTCTTCTACTTATGTGATTACTTCAGACAAAATCTGGTTAACAGGGTTGTGGAGTCAGAAAACAGAGTGATGACCAATGAAATTTACTGAATAATATAAATTAGTTCTGAACATGTTAAAAAGGGGGTTTTGAAGGGATTTATATTTATTCTGATATAAATGTTTGCCATTTGATTTTATTATAATGCAGACCTACTGATTGTTGAGAAAAATAAAGAACAAAAAGTCTCATTATTGGCGGTGATATTAAATAAGAGTAATGGACAGACCTGTACCTGAATTATGTTGGTGGATGGCAATAGATGGGGGAAGACGGTAAAACAGGGTAACCGTTTCATATAGTGAAGAAATTGGGTCTTGGAATTTTTTATGTGATGTGCATATGAATTGAACAGTCCCATTTCAATTAACATAACTTATATGTGGCCTAAAAAATCAAGTTAAATATTCAGACACCATGTTCACTATACAATTTGAAGAGACATTAAAATCTGGGGCCACATGATATTAGCATACTGAGGGACTATGACTGACCTTGTCATTTATAAATACAATATTCAAGCATAAAAGAGTTAGGTTCACGTACTTTATGCTTAAAATTGCCCTATACCAATATACAAACCAGATATATCAAATTATTGACTAACACTCTATGTTCCATTTCAAACATCAAGATAAAGTAGATAGTTGGTGCTTTCATTTCCTATTAAAAAGTTTCCTCTGAAAGTCCAGGTGTTGGAAAACAGGCTTTGTGAAATTGCAATGTTCTTGAATTTTAAAGAAAACAGGTTTATATGAATTCTTTCAGTGAAGAAAAACATATAAGCACACTTCTTTTTTCAAAAAATGAGACATTTTGTAATCTTCAGAAACTTTTCTATCATTAAATAATTGCATATCTTAGATTAGAGGTTGTGCTCTATACGAAAATATTGGAAAACAGCTTAAATGATTAAAGGTTTTAGTAGAATTATTCAGAATATGGCAAAAAAATGATGCAGTTCATGACGTTATAATGCTTTAACAAGCCATTAAAAGTTTTCATGTAGTTTTCAATCATGGGACACCTGACAATTCCACCAAGTTTCTGTCACAGTGAAACTACCATGCTTTGATTCCATGTTCTTTCCCAATCGCATGAATACAATAGGAATCCTGAGGTTTGCCAGTGTTTCCCTTCTGTGGAAACCTGTTGATTTTCTTCAAATTTCAATGGCACGGAAACTATTATGCTCCAATTCCATATGGCTTACAAATCTAAAGAATCCTCAGGTTTCCCATTATGAACAAGAGGCCCAAGGGCCTTAATGGTCACCTGAGTAAAATATACAACACTGTAAAAGATCCATAGAAGTATAAAACAAAATTAGCTGAAAGATGATGCTAAAAATCTGGTAAAAATGCCCTTGCTTATTATAACGTGTGAGACCTGTCAGTAATCTCCTTGGGATCGTACTCGGTTTTCCCAAGTCTTACAGGGATGATAATGTATGCAAAATATACAAATACATGTACAATGAACACTTGCCTAGTGTGTAAAATATTCAATATACTCAGATATGTATTTGTCACTTGCCTAGTGCTACAGTTAAGTAAACAAAGAGAAATCTCTAATGCCTGTATATTTTAGGGATGTCAACGAAACCAAACATTCATTTTTATTTTATTTCTATATATATATATATATATATATATATATATATATATATATATATATATATATATATATATATGTATATATATATATATATATAACATTCTTTCTTGTATTCTCAATCCATCAAATAACCTGTTAATTAAATTACATACAAGGATTTCTTGATAAAACGCAATTTAGCAAAGGGGAGTAACTCTCATTTGCTTCACTTATTACAATTTTGCACTCTGTTTGCTTCCTAGACACCCAGGAGCAGAGAAAAGGCATATTTATGAGGGGGTATCAAAAAGTTCGTGGACTAGCGCCATAAAATTAAAACAGATTTAGGTACATCAATGAATTTTAAAATATTAAGTAAGCATCATCTTTTCTATCTATAGAATAAACCACAAATCATAAATTTTATTTTTTAATTAATTAGTAATTAGTAATGTTTTTGTAAGCAATGGTATGTCCAGGCGACGCAACCTTTACATTTATAGTAGGGATGGCAATCGATTACAGAATTGTTAATCGGTTAACCGCAAGATGTTCCGACCGATTAACCGGTTAATCGTATCAAAATGCACGTTTTCTTGACAATTGTTTTTCAAGTAGCTCTGTCCATATACACAAATAGACCCAAATAAAACGATAGGAGTTAAAACTCTTCATTAGTCTTGATTCTGGATCGGAAAAATACGGGTACATATTATTTTTTACTTAAATTTCAGTAGACAAAAAATTGAGAAAACCATGAAAAAAGCTTAAGAAATCTTTGATAATTTTCGAGAGCAGATGTCACAAAAGTTCTTTCTGCATTTTCACTACGAAAATCAAAACTACATGTGAACTTTATAGCCCTTAATTTACAATGTTTGTTTAATGAATAAATTGGATTGAAAACTGAAAACGACAAACACACCAATTCACAGTGCTCAATGATTCATTATTATTATCATTAAAGAATTACGTGACAGTCAGTAACTACATGGTGTTTTCACAGTCATTAACACTACATAAACTGACCAATTACGCAACGGTCTCAGTCTGGAGATTCATAATTACATGTATGTCTAAATTAGATCCTTTTAATCCTAAATGATCATCCTTTGCGCAGAGATTTCTTTTTTTTAAAATAAATTTTTAAAAAATGTGTTCAATTTAACAAATATTTTATTTTTTCCGATTAACCGATTACAGATTTTCTAATCGATTGCCATCGTTCCGACCGAGTAATCGGTTAAAACCTGTTACAAATTGCCACCCCTAATTTATAGTATTGCATTTAGTCTGTTAGCTCAATACTCAGGGACAGAGGAGAAGATTTTTATATTATTAATGCATTTTTGCTATATAACCAATAGAGCCCCACCCAAACATCAGAACCCCTGAACATATGTACCAGAAGCCATGAAATTCACAATTTTGGAAGAGGCATCCTTCCTAATCATAACTACCCATATGCATTTAGCTTGTTTGCTTAATACCAAGGGACAGAGGATAAGATTTTAAAAGCATTAATTCATTTTCAGTGTATAATAAATACCCCCCCCCCTTACGGAACCCCTGACCCATGGGCCACATCTTTCTTAATTTTGCAAACGGCACCTTCTTCATCATAACTCTGTACTTTGTTCATCGGCTTAATACCCAGGAGCAGGGGAGATTTTCAAAGAATTAATGCATTCTCACTATATTTTCATTAGAGCCCTGCCTAACACCAGAAGCCATGATCCAGGGGCCATGAAATTCACAATTTTGGAAGCAGCAACCTTCCTCATCATAACTATGTACTTAGTTCATTGGATAAATACCCAGGAGCAGAAGAGAAGATTTTCAAAGAATTGATGCATTTTCACTACATTATCATTAGGGCCCAGGGATTAGTTTGGGAAACCTAATGGAATTGGAATGTAGTAGTTTCCATTCCACAGAAATTTGGCAGAATAACCCAGCATCCTTTTGGAAGCCACCCGCAAACATAATGTAAACTTGAGGTTTCCATGTTGTTTTCCATGACAGGAAACACTTCTTTTTCACAAAAAACTCTTAGCAAATGAATGCCTTGTTAAAAGTTTGACTGTATTAGCCTCTGATTTACACACAAATATACATACCTCTACCTAGCATGGGTTAAAATGCATTAAAAACATATAAAGAGAGCTTTAAAATTTCACATACCCTAATAGCAAGGTCTGTGCGCCCAACCTCTAGGGCATGGCTTGCAATATCGGAATATGAGACCCCTGGGGTATCTCCAAGTTTTTGGTTAATAGCTCTAGCTATGGTCTCATCATCTTCTGTCTTCTGCTGCACCTGCTCAGTTATTTAGACATCAAATTAAAAATACTTTCTGTTACACCTGCTCAGTTATTTAGACATCAAATTAAAAACACTTTCTGCTGCACCTGTTCAGTTATTTAGACATTAAAGTAATAACACTACGAGGGTAATTCAAAAACAAGAGGCCCATGGGCCACAATGCTCACCTGAGTAACTTTGGCCTTGCTGTTTTTCACCTGATCCCCCCCCCCCCCCCGTAGTACTTATTGTGGCCCCACCCTACCCCCTGTGGTCATGATTTGAACAATTAGAATCTACACTATCCCAGAATGCTTCCACATAAGTTTCAGCTTTTCTGGCCCAGTGGTTCTTGAGAAGATTTTTGAAGATTTTTACTACATATTTCAATGTAAAACTTGGATTTCCTATTTTGGCCCCGCCCTCCCCCGGGGGTCATGATTTGAACAAATTAGAATCTACACTACCCAAGGATGCTTCCACATAAGTTTCAGCTTTTCTGGCCCAGTGGTTCTTGAGAAGATTTTAAAAGTTTTTTACTACATATTTCAATGTAAAACTTGGATTTCCTATTTTGGCCCCGCCCTCCCACTGGGGGTCATGATTTGAACAAATTAGAATCTACACTACCCAAGGATGCTTCCACATAAGTTTCAGCTTTTCCAGCACAGTGGTTCTTGAGAAGAAGATTTTTAAAGATTTTTTCTACATATTTCAATGTAAAACTTGGATTCCCTATTGTGGCCCCGCCCTACCCCCTGGGGTCATGATTTGAACAACTTAGAATCTCTACTACCCCAGAATTCTTCCACATAAGTTTCAGCTATTCTGGCCCAGTGGTTCTTGAGAAGAAGATTTTTAAAAAATTTTTCTAAACATTTCAATGTAAAACTTGGATTCCCTATTGTGGCCCCGTCCTACCTTCGGGGGTTATGATTTTAACAATTTAAAATCTACACTACCCCAGGATGCTTCCACATAAGTTTCAGCTTTTCTGGCCCAGTGGTTCTTGAGAAGAAGATTTTTTAATCACCCCACCCAATTTTTGTCTTTTCTTGATTATCTCCCCTTTGAAGGGGACTTGACCCTTCATTTTAACAATTCAAACTCCCCTTCACACAAGGATGCTTTGTATCAAGTTTGGTTAAAATTGGCCCAGTGGTTCTTGAGAAGAAGTTGAAAATGTGAAAAGTTTACAGACGGACGGAAAAACAGACGGACGGATGAGCTTTCAGCTCAGGTGAGCTAATTATGTGGACTTGTTGCACAGACAAAATATCTGTCATCAAAAATACACAAAAAGCCATAAATGAATTTTTACTTTAGTGGTCAACAAAATTTTATTTCAAAATATTGTAAATGAAAATTTATTTATTTAGGCCAACATTTTTTTATATCCTGTTTTACGGGAGCACCGATCCTAGTTTGGGCTAAAATGAAATAAAAATAAAAGTCCCTAATTCAAGTTTTATTTTTATTTCTCCTGCCGATAGTTTATTTATAGTCACTGAAAAAATAAAAGAAATATAAATAAACTTTTCACAAGCCTTTCAAAATGCGATTTGTCATTGGCTGAGGTAAATATTATAGTATTCGAAGTCTGAATAGTCACTGCACAGCATAGCACCAAAATGTCACAATCGGAGGTTTTCATATATTTTTAAATAGTCATTTTAAAAAGTGACATGTCAATGTCATATATTAATTTAAAGTATAAATTTCAGATTAACTTTTAATGAAAGATTGAATGAAATAGACAAAACAGTAATCTTTATCAAATGTAATGCAGAGGGTCACGTGGAAATTGAGGTTCTGTCAACCGCTTGTTTTGAAAGGTTTTGAGTACATATTATCTTTGACAATTGCTTCAATACATTGAAATACGTCTTGAAGATTTTTTAAACTTAAGGATATCCGATCCTCAGCCAGGAAGGATAACTCTTAATTTTATTATTTTATTTAAAAAGTCTCAAAATGAAGCTTGAAATTGAGATCTTTTCATGCAACCATTTTCATTTTATGCATCTTGATATGATTCAAGGTTCTTTTAAATCGTAGACACATCTTGTTAAAAGTTAACATTTGTACCCCATAAAAGAAAGAAATGAATTCATTTTTAGAGAAATTGAATTTCCTTTAGTCTAGCATTAGATACCATGGCTTATTAGCATGATATGAAATTAGATGTGATATGTGGTGTCTACCAATGATAGCACAAGCTTTTTACACTGTTTTATATGACAACTGAAGTAAAAAGTAGAACTAAAATACTGTATAAGGATAAAAAAAGACGCAATTTTCTTCAAATGCCTGGATACCTATAATTTTCTACCCTAAATTATATTTGTTGATCAATTTTCAATTAGAAAATGCATAGCTGGTGTTTTTATTCGCATTTCCTGAAAATATATTTGAGATTTGAGAATTTTCCCTATAAAATATGATTAACTATAATGATGAACTTTGATGAAATTCCATGGGTAAATTCATGTTACTATGTGAAATCAGAGACATTTTTGTGAGCATTTTCAATTACTTAAAAGCTGATTTTCAGAACCTGAGGATCGGACTACCTTAATTTTAAGACAATAATGTTTTCTTTTACAATTAACGACAGAACAGAACACTGTAGAACTGGTAGAAAGTGGCGTGACTGAGGAAATCTGAGTCACAACTTTCACTCGTTTTATGACAAATATTGGAATTCAAAATTTATTAACCTACGAAAATAAATGCTTGATTGATACAAGACATTATTTCCTTTTTTATCATTTTATGGAATGTTGCGTGCTATGTAACAAATTAATGTACATCAGCTATTAATAACAGCTAGCTGATATATCATGATATATTGTATATGTATCTCTTGTTTAGTAAAACAACTTTTTTACCACTAGGGAAAAGTATTGTTATAAATGATACTCCCTTACAAATATTATTTAAATTCAATTAAGACCTGGTTTCTTTTTTTTTCATTCAAAAGTTGTGGATTAAAACCAGTTTCAACAATTAAATTTTTGAATTCTGTAGTAAACAGAATATTGTCATGTGTATTTTACATGTGTATACTATGGGAAAGATGTACATATTTTCTACAATTATGTTGAAAGTTAACATGCTCAGAAAGAAAAAAAAAATATAAGGATAAAAAGAGATCAAATATACTACAGATTGAGGAAGTTTGAATATGTTTTCAACAGAGAGATTGGGGTACCTTTTTTCCACCTATACATATATATTAATTTGAATTGCGCTGAAAAAAAATATTATACAACTTTTCTTTTTATCATGTCTCACGTGCACTTCTGTGAATTAATTTATTTTAGCTGATCCATTGAATGTCTCACTGTATTTTTGCCATAACTTTGCCAGAGCTAGTCCAAAATCCTCAGATCTTGTAATTTGCTGAATACCAAAAAATAAAAGATTCTGAAAAGTTTATGAGGGGTGTGACATATAGTATTTTAATTTAATTTGTTTTACACTTCAGACTAAAGTATGTATATTTTTCTGAAATACATGTACTGTGTGAAGTCAGTATTTCTCCTATTCTTTACAATCCAGATCAACTTTTTGTTGACCCCCCCCCCCCCCTTTACCAAGCCTCTACCATCAATTTTCTTGTGCAATTTGTAGTCATATGTCTGGCATACCATTGGTTCACTACGTTTCCCAAATGTATTTTGGGTCCTTGATTGCATTTTCCAAAACACTACATATAATGTGTTAAACATGCTCTGCTCTGTCAAACCACTTGACATCATTTTTACAGTTATCATTGAGAACACAAGCTTGAACCTACACTACCTGAGGATGTTCCATATCAAAATGACTAATCATGGCTTTGCTATTCTTGACAAATTCTTTTAAAGATTTTTTCCTATAGATTCCTAAGTAAAACTGTCTCTAATGTGACCCTTCTCCTGGTAGTCATATCTGAACAAACTTGAATCTAAATTCTTGTTAGTTTTTCAGTTATGAGCCAGACAGGATTTTGCCATATTTGGTCATAATATCTTAAGTAAAAGTCACAATGACCTAGCTTTAAGTTTAGAAAATTTTTGTTACAGTTAAAAATAAATTTTGATAAGTGAGTATACTTTTATTAATTAATTGAAACAAAAATCATAGAATAAATGATATGTAGTGTCTAATAGTACATCTGCATAATTATCTATCTGAACTGCTGAAATATTATTCTCATGGTAGAGCCTGTAGAAAGTTTGTGTGTGTGTGTGTGTGTGTTACATGTACACAATTATATTTTTAACTAGGGATGGCAATTTGTAATCGGTTAACCGATTACTTGGTTGAAACGATCGATGGTAATTGGTTAGAAAATCTGTAATTAGTTAGTCGGAAAAAATACAATTCATTTTTGAAAGTGAAACTTCTGCATAAACTTTGATAATTTAGCATTTTCACATAACTATTTAAGCTGATTGGAGGTAATTATGGTTCTCCTGATTGAGATTGAAGGGTAATTGGTCAGTTTGTAAGTTTTAATTACTGTATAAAAAACGTGTCGTAACCACTACTGTTCTGTCATTCTTTATTGATATTAAATAAATCACCATTGAGCACTGTGAATCATTATGTAAATCTTTTGTAGTTATCTATCAAAATATATTATAAGAGAAACATTGTATATTAAGTGAAAGTTCAAACTTAATTTTGATCATAGCGATGATGCAGAATGAACTTGTGTGTGACATCTGCTCTGGAAAATTATCAATGCCTGATATCTTAGGCAGGTTTCATGGTTTTCTTAATTTTTACTTATCTATTGAAATTGAAATAAAATATAAGTACATTAGTTTCCTGATCAAGATAAACAGAATGTTTTTAACATCTAACTATGAGTAGAGCTAATTGAAAAAAAAGTGTTAAGAAAATGTGTATTTTATGATTAACTGGTTAATCAGTAGGATTGTTTTGCAGTTAACCGATTAGCAATTCTGTATTCGATTGCCATCCTTATTTTTTAACCATATCAAATAACCTCTATCTGCATTTGTTGCAATTTTACAGATTTTCTGCAATATTTAAGTGTAAAGCCATGTTTCAAGGCAACCAAGATAACTTAAACCAAATTATTAATGTTGTTTCTCTTTCAACATCTTTTTAGCATCTTTAAGTCCGTCTTACAGATAAAAGCATGAAAACTAAAAATAATTTCAAGATTTTGTTAAAAGTACTTTTCATATTTATCCTATTTTACATGGATTCCTCACATAGCTTCTTTTATTATTTTATCAATATGACATTATTCCTACATGAAATATTCCTTGTCCATGAACAAAGCCACAATGAGAAATCAAATAGCAAAGCACCTCTATTTTGACTTTTAAGGCCTGTTGCCATGAATACAGCAAGAAAATAATTGTTTTCAGTTTGAATGATAAAATCTACTTATGCTTGTGTTTTCAAGAAAATTTGTGGTCATGTGTGCAAAAAAGTGCTAAGTGAGAATGGCTCTTTGAAAATATTTACATGGTGACAATGTGCAGATGTTCACTGCACATATTATTGCCAGTGACAATGTGGTGCAAAATTGTACAGCACACATTCTCACTTACTTGACAGAGGAAAAAGAACGTCATTATTGGCACATTTGTCACTAACACAATATGTGCCAATGGACTACAATATGTGCAGTTTAAATTTACACATTATGTCACGGGTGACAATGTGTGCAGGGGCAAAAATATGTGTGTCACACCTAGCTAAAAAATGGGGTTCGTGATTTGAACAAACTTGAATTTATACTATGTATGTTAAGAAGCTTTCACAATGTTTATCTTTTCACTTATTGTTAATTATTTCTCCTTGAAAGAAGGCATGACCCTTCATTTGAAAAAACTTGAATCCCCTTCATGCAAGGTCACTTTTGCAAAGTTTGGCTGAAATTGGCTTAGTGATGCTGGAGAAGGTGCAATTGTGAAAAGTTTATTACAACAATTATAACGGACAAATTTTGATCAGAGAGCTCACTTGAGCCTTTGCCTCTGGTGAGCCAAAAACTATTATATAAAAAATATTTTTATACCTTGTAGCAAGCCCAGTGAGCCAATATTCTACTGGCACCCTCTGCATCTGGTATTTTCAGATACTGACAGATTTTAACTGCGTAATAAAACAATTTCCTGAGCACTAGTCGGTCTATCAAAATTGGCATGGTCAAATGCTGTAATCTTTAGCTGGTTAAGAATGATAAAAATGTTCAATCACAGTATATTTTTCAATTATATATTGATCAAATGCTGTTTAAAACTAAGAGACTTTGAACACCTTTAAATATAAAATACTTTATGATACAAGGACCCAAGGGCCTCAACAGTACCTGAGTATAATATGAGGGGCATTTGAAAAGTTCTGAGAACTGTTTGATAAAGTATTAACCGTTTCACGGAATTTAGGAAATTTGATACCATTGAAAAGAGCTGGAAAATTTGCACTTATTTCGATGTCACTTTCTTATTTTTATGACTTAATAACTCCGAAAATGATGTAAGAATCTCAAATGTTTAGCATACTGAAAAGTAGCTGTCAAAGGTTTCTCATCCTCACAATGTCAAGGTTTTGTGATTCGGAACTCCACACAAACCCTTGACACAAGTCGTTATTTAAAAGTTGGGCTTGTGGTTACACATGATGTAATGGGTAATTATAAACTAACCAATGAGAATATATTTCTCAAATCCATCATTATCAAATTGCCCAACTCCAAAGCATATCTTTTGTGATTGTAAGGAGGACGATCTTCAAAAAATGAATCCCCCATGTTTCATTTAAAGTAACTAGTCACAAATCCTACAATATTGACACTTTCCACTTTAAAGACGAGTCATATTTGTTTACAAAACTTACTTACAATAAAAGCTGATTTCTGATTGGTTCCAGTCCTACACCAGGAACAATGAAATAGTAGCTTTCTAACCCAACTTTTAAATAACAACTTATGTCAAGGGTTTATGTGGAGTTCCGAAATCACAAAACCTTGACATTGTGAGGATGAAGGTTTCTTTGAAAAGATATTTCAAAGAAAATTTTTATGGAGGTAGAGTAAGACTGAAAGAATGGTACAAAGTATCATCATATCCATATTTCACTTTATGGTTGGTTTATAAGCATGGTTTATGTCCGATTATGCTATTATAGGCATTCATTTATTAAGATTTTTATTTTCATGATACAGCTGGAATTTCAGTCAATTATATAGCTCTCCATTGTATTAAATAAAACATGTTCTGTATAAAACTGAAGAGTATCAATGCAGTTTTCCACAAATGTATCTTGAGTAACAGCAGGTATTCTATCGAAGCCATCTTAGGTCTAAGACATATCTTAAGATATATCTTAGTCCTGAGTGAGGCCATCAAATCTGTCCTAACTTAAGACGTATCTTAAGATTTCTCCTAAAGTTAAGACATTGCAAGACCCATCCTAACATGAATTCAAAAGGCTCCAAACCAAATGCAATCATTCATTTCTATTCAGACACGTAGTCGGGGGCAAGGTGAGTCTTCCTATTACATTTTTTTTTACCGAAAATTTTTTTTTTTTTTAGTATTTTTTGTCTAGCCCCCCCCCCCCCTCGAAATAAATATAGGATGTTTTCCCCCTTTGTTCATCTATTTTCTGAGTTAATCAGGAACATTTTCTTTAATCTGTCAGTTATTTTCTGGCTTGTCCCCCCATCAATTTTGAGAAACACTGAGTGCTTCGTACTTATGCAAAAATAATTGCCCAGTTGTAATATGTCGTACTATAAGGATATTTATTCTAAGCAATTGTGAATACACAAATTAAATTACATGATTGAATGTTTGATGTATTGGTCACTATGTCCAGAAAAATTTAAGGTTACATTTATGGAGAAGTTGGGATTTCTTTGATGGTTCATTATATAAACGTTGAAACCTAAACCTATACTGGTTATTATTCAGTCGAAAATCACGAGTGTATGAGGATAATAGCACTATACAATATCGTGAAGCAGTCCCCCATCCAATGGCTATGCATGCTCACTGTAGCTAATATGCAAAAAAAAGGGGGGATTCTATACCGTGTCAATAAATAAGTTAACTTACTAGCAAGGTTGTATTTCCCTGTCTAGATACTGTCCGCTACTTTACCCACCAAAACTACGTAAAAAATGAACTACCTGTTCGTTTATAAGCTTGTTAATTATATAAAATTTCTTTATCTAAATTGCTGTGCAACCATACTGAAATTTAAATTTTAATTGTCAATCATAACTTTAAACTTTTTTCAATATGTATGTTTTTATATTTTCTTCATATTTAGAGAGAGAGAGAGAGAGAGAGGATGTCCCAATAAATAATTTATGAAATAAAGAGAGTTATTAGAATTAGACAATTGTTTTGTGAATATCTATCTCTAATTTATTTTTTCACAATTCATTAAAAGAATTGAAAGTCCCAATTATTACTTTTTCTCTATCATATAAACATAGTATGTAATGTTACAATATTTAAAAATTATATTAAGGTACATGTAGTTCTATACTCGGCACTAAATGGGCTCAATCTTGAAAAATGTGCTTTTAAATACACAAAAGCAATGTTTGTAAGTTTGTTGATGTGATCAACTTGGAGCAAAATCGTTACCAGATATTTAAAACGCAGAGTAAAAGTCAAAGCAATATAGTTCAAAAATCAGATCTCAGAAATAAGAAGTGTGGTTCCAGTTTTACTATTCGTTAGTGATGTAGTGCTAGTATTGGTCTACTTTAAAAATCTCCAAAGTCTATCCTAGGTAGGACATTCCTAAGAGAGCTTCTATGTCTATCTTAAGAACTCTCTTAGGACCGTCCTAAGTTTTGTCCTAAGACATCTCTTAAATTATATCTTAAGACTATTCTTACGACACTTTCTATAACATGCCTGCAGGATTCTTACCATTTAAGAATAAAACGTACAAAATTCTTCCACCTGACTTGTTTCTGTGCGTATTTTTTGTCATATTCTTTCAACTTAGGCACTCCATAACTCGTTCTTGCTTTTGACTTTTGACTCAAAAAAGGAATCTGATTTACATTCCCATGTACAATCTTATTTATTTTCCATGAGTTAAAATTTGTCATTTTCTCACAGCTAGGTCGTTTTTATTTAGGGGTGGGGGGTGGGGGTGGGTTACTGCAATATTCTTTTTATATCAGTCACTACCAAGTATAATATTTTGCCCTAACTCTCAAACATTTGTTAATTTTCATTGGCAAAATATAAACAAGATGCTGTCATGAGAGAGTAATACCTGCACTAAGGTTTTTGCTTCTGAATGCACACTCCTTCATATTGGGCTTACCAAGGAAAAAGTCAAAATAATTCTATAATTTACACAGTACATGTATTCATCAAATCGAGCATAAAATGCTCAGATGATCATGAGACCTATGAGCCTCTTATAGTTATTTCATATACTTAACTCATTACCAGTCTGAAATAACAGAATTTAATTAATGATGTAAATTAGGTTTTCATAAAAGGGGGGATATAAATTTTTGGCCTGTAATTGGAACTTTTTAAATTTATTTTCTGAACAACAAATAATATTATTTTAGTACAAAGTGTTTTTGATTAATATATCAAAATGTGCAACCTTTTTTTAGTATTTGGTTAGGCAAAAACCTCCTTGAAAAGCCATACCCAATCAATTTTGTAAATCCCCCCCCCCCCCCCCCCCCAACACACACATACAATTTGCCTGTTTTTGGAAATAGGCCTAGATAGCAAAGTTATGTTAAAACATCGTTTGTTATAAAATTTGTTCTTGTACTATACCAATCTAATTAAAATTAGATGTTCCGAATCCGCTACCGCTTCTCAAACATCTAACAACATCCCATTCGGGATCACGTCAGAGCGACCTTTCGATTATGAATCAACTTAAAAATTTTGGCCATTCAGATTCAACCTTCTGTATACAATTCTAAAATTAGTTCCTCAGCTACATCTTTACATTATTGATGCTCAGTAGACTGTCTTACGTTGAATTAAAGTAATTTTGGTATAAATTGAACGTATAGTCTGCCAATCTGGCATTCTTACCTGAATAACGCAAACGAAAATGCACAAACTACTATACATCCTGCACGTCACATTCATATAGCACGCTCTTTACCATGCATATTCTGTTTACTACGAAACCCCTTGGGCGTTTAGGTTTGGCAATAAAAAAAGAAACGCATCCGAACTATAAGCCAAAATTTTGGCGACGGCGATTTCATTGGGTATTCGAAAGGTCGCTCTGACGTGACCCCGAATGGAATGTTGTTAGATGTTTGAGAAGCGGTAGCAGATTTGGAACATCTAATTTTAATTAGATTGGTACTATACATGTACGTGAACACCTTTTTGAAAATATCTACATCACATTGGGCTTGCATCATGTACCCCACTAGTACTAGTTTTACCATTATCATTTTTAGATTGCACATTGTGCAGTGTTGTGTACACTTCATTACATGTATATCAGTAGAAATTAATTCATTTTGTGTTTTAATTGGATTATATTTCATGAAGTTGACAGGACCTATGACAGTCGGCAAGCACAAGTAGATTAAGTATAGATTGGGGTAAAATAAACCGAGGGGGGGGGGGGTCCAATCTCCCTAGCCACTCCCTGTCCCTGAAATGACAAATGATCATGTGACTCCAAAATAGTAGAAAACTTTTCCATTTGACTATACATATTTTGTTCATGTATGCAAACTACCCCTGCGAGATGATATTCATGACTTAAAGAACTTTTATGAGTTGTTCATCATTGTTCATGAATGCTCATAAAAGATTCATAATAGTTTCATAAAAGTAGTTCATGAATTTAATTCATGAACACATTCATATTGAAAAAAATTTATACTTCATGAACAATGATGAACCTTTATGAAATTCGAAAATCTTCAACATTACACAGCAACACGTTTCATGATTATTCATGATTATTCATGACTCAACACAATTTAAATTCTATAATGATTCAAATTTATTGATATTGAATTTTAAGTACAATTTTAATTAACTGAGTGTTCTTCATTGGTAATTGCTTAACAATACATGTATTACAATACTGTTCAGTGTTGAAATGGAAAGACTAAATAGACAGAAAAGCTTGCTGGATTTTTTTTAACATCATTATAGACTATCAGTAATAAGTTGCAAATCAGGGA